TAGTCAATGTTTGCATCCATAAATGGATTATGAGTCTACTTTGCCAGCTTGCAATGTTTTCAGTTCAGTTGTAGTCAGCACTCTTAAACCACGGTGTGCAGCTCAGGGACTTAAGGTGTGGTTGTTTGCTTTGAGAAACGCTCTGGCTCTTTGTGAAGCTGGTCTTTAATAATGGATGTGTTGGGACTGCAGATCCCAGGGTAAGGAGGCCGGGACAGGCCCGGCAAATAGGAAGGAAGCCATCGGCTGTGAACCCAGTTGAACCTACTGTGCCTCTGCATTGTGTTGTGTAGAAGTACAGTATAGGCCTTTACACACTACTACCCTTTACACACAAAGAGATACGCATGCCTACGCTTTACTTGCTTCACTTTTTTTTGCGTTGAAGTGCTCATAGTGTGCACGCATATTGAATCATTTATGAGCACTAGCTTAGTCTAAATATACACAGACTTTTTGTGAATGAAATGAAGATATTATTAATGTGTAGCCTGGATTTCTGAATCTCTGCCCTGTAGCTACGATGCTAGCAGACAGGCTGCTTCATCCCTCCTCCTTTGGTTACAAAGTAACATTGTAGCAGAATTTCTTGTTAGGTATTGCAGAAAGGGTTTTGCAGCCTCCACCTCTAGGGAGCTGCCCAGGGTCACCTCACCTCGCCTCCAGGCTCACGTTAACGTTAAGCCTGTATAGTAAAGCTTTGTCAGAGTGAACGATTTACAGATTCGTGAAAAGTCATGGTTTTTAAATAAAAACAATACATATATACACTTATATCATGAATAGTATTTGTAAGGCAGGCTACGAGGTCAAGCTGCAGTTAGTGATGGGTATTATTAGGAATTTAGCAACACTATCATTGATACTACAGTCTGTATGTTTGTTTAATTTCAGAATTTAGAAAAAGTTACTCTCCCTTCATATAAGTGCAATAAAAAATAGTAAATTTTAATTTCAGCTATAATCTTGGCTTCTATTATTGATCTTAATTAAATGATCTTGATAAAACTGTCACTCCTGTCCTATTTGCTATGGATCCCTCACTTTTCTATGTGTTATACATAAAGTACACCCCTTTCCTTTACAGTGTCAATTTCACCTCTTTCTAGAAGCACCTAAAAACATGCTTGCTGTGTAGTTCAGCTCCAGATGAGATAACTAAATGAGAGAATTTAGCTAACAAGCTATGTCTAAAATCATAATGAGAAAACTTTATTGTCCATTGCAGTGTAGTAGAAATATGTCTTAAGCATAAGTGTATGCAAATAAAACTGCAGATATATGAACAAAAAACTTTATAAACAACACATACCAAGGCAGAATAATTACTCACAAAGTTTAATCTGTGGAGAATTGACTGGTGCCTTTATTTCTGGATTTCTCAGAGTCTCTCACCCATTTTCACTCCATTGTCACTGTGCAGATTTCCTAAGGCAAGCGAGCTTTCCCTGGGGCTTTCTTTGCCCCCATCTGTAACTCCAGACATTTAGTGATGGCAGCAGGCTGGCAGGCAACAACTGTAACCTTTGTGTTTATAGCCATAAAAACACCACAATGTCAAGAACCACCTTTTTTTTTTCCTTTTATTTGTTTTTAATTTTATTTACATTTAAAAATAAGGTCAGGGTAAATGAAATTCAAGAACTGCATCAGGCTTATTAAGTTAATGATTATTCATGTCAAATTATCACCATAATATCAAACAAAGTAATCTTTAGCAGACTTATGACCAAAGAAAAATTATGTCTGGCCTCCAAAACAGCTCACACTAATTTCAAAGTATATTTGATATTATTTGTGGTAGTCTTCATGTTCCTCCGGGTAATTTCCTGTTTTATTTTGAAGTTTAGTTTTTTAGATGTGCCTTATTTTGGTTTTAATTCATGCATTTGTTCTTTTCCCTCTTTTGTGATTGTCATTACTTTCACCTGTTTGATTGCATCCACCTGTGTCCTGTTCCCACCTGTCTCTTATCATCATTCACTCTTGTGTACTTTTATAAACCTGGCTTTCCCTTTAACTTTGCCACATTTTCTTCCGGCTTCCTGTACCTATTTTTTGGACTTCTTTTTAGCTGTTGGACTTTCTATATTTTTAGATTCTTGTATTAACTACTTTTTTCTCTTTTTGTTTTTTTCGCCTCCCCATGCCATGCACTTGAGTCCAAAATCAAAACTTCCTTAACACAAACATTTCTCTAAGAATCAGTGAACACTGCATAAATACTTATACTGTAGCAGCAGTGTTTGTCCAGATGCTTACCAAAGCTTTGGTGTTATCAGCTCTCCTCATGTCCCATGCCTAGCTGTGATCTTGTTAGATCAGCTGCTCTCAATGCCAGCTAACATAAGCTCATGGCTCATCTGATAGGTTTCACTGCATCCCATTGACAAATCTAACATAAGACGTGCTATTTGCACTGCTTTGCTATGCCCTTAGGTGCTGGTTCTTCTGCAAGCTACTTTTGAAACCCACCTCCAACCACTCATCACTAAATCACCAAATACAAATGACTGCAGATAGAAATAGCAGTCATCTTATAAATATAGTAATCTTTAATGAAATATATTTTGCTTGCATCATAACTTTGCCATAATATGTACAACAGCTTTTATATACTTCTAGTTTTCTTCTCCATTTCTATTTCTTTCCTCTATTTCTTTGTTTTTGATTATGTGCAATTTCTTTTGTTTTAAAATATTATGTGCAATTAGTGGCACTAAATGTACCATAAACTTGGAATACAACTTATAACCTACACAAGGAGGTATTTTGTTCAGAATCAATGGGCAGTGCCTTTGGCCAGGTTGGATGTGGATGCAGGCATTGGGCCAGGCAGGCTGGAGTAGCCAGAAGCTTGTACTGCTTTGTTATGGTTTGTAAGCTGCGTGGGACTGTTTGCTTTGTATGGGTCTAATGTGCAATAACGCAGCTCTAAAAGGGGATGTGTATTAGAGCAGGAGGTAAGCAGAAACAGATTCATTGTTTCCTGGAAGTAGGGTGAATGATGATTGAGGTGAAAATACTGGAGCAGAGCTGTCTGAGAATAGAGAGATTGTTCTTTTTGTTTGTTGTCCTACAAAAAATAAAAAATAAAAAAGGCAAATACATCAGAGTCTGCAGACTGAAAAATGGACAGCTCCTCAGTAAGCAGTTTCAAATGGTGCCCATTAGAGCTGGATTGGACTGGTTGGTGAAGAGGGTAGTACACACTGTTGTATGAAAAAAGACTTTTTTTTTGG